TGTGCAATGCCCGCAGAGGACAGAAGAGGCTGTTGGATCCCCTGGAACTGGAGTTAGGGACAGTTGTTAGCTGCCATGTGGGTTCTAGGATTCGAACCTGGGTCTTCTGCAAGAACAGTCAGTGTTCTGAACCACTGAGCCATCTCTCCAGCCCCATGTACTAGTTACTTTTTGAAAAAGATTTATTTTTATTTGTACAAGTGTTTGGCTTGCCTGTAGGTATGTGTACCTAGTACATGTGCAATGCCCACATCGGCTAGAAGTGAGTGATGGAACCACCATGTGAGTGCTGGGAATCAAACTTGGGTCTTCTGCAAGGGCAGCAAATGCTCTTAATCCCCGAACCATCTTGCCAGCCCCTGTATTTGTTGCTTTTAATATTGCTATGACCAAAATACCTGATGTAAACTACCTAAAGGCGAATTATTTTAAATCATAGTTTCAAAGGGTTCAGCTTATAGTTGCTTGGGCAAAACATCATGGCACCAGGAGCGTGTGGCAGAAAGGCTTCTGAACTATAACACTACTGCAAAACAACTTTATTGTTTTTCGTACTGCATAGTAACGACATCATCTAGTGACTGTGAAGTTGGTTTAGGGAGAATGGGGAAAATGGGGGAGGAGAGGGAGGGTTTATCAGGGAGAGAGAGGAGAGATAAATAATGCCTAGCTGGTGTAAAAAACCAGAGGGAATCTTATTATTGCAAAAGCCTAGTGAAAAAGTACACATACAACATCTCCACATGAGTTCATGTGTATAGCTGAAGGCTACACAAGAAACAGTGCCAGACAGGAAAAACTGCCCTTTGAGTTGTTGACTAGGGTAGTCCAAGAGACCCTCAAAATTATACAAGCTATTGCCATAGCCTTGATTGCCTCCCAGAACATGAAGTTAAGACCCTATTACTGAAGACAGGACACACTGTAGGCACAGGACTTGGAGCAATGGAGCTAGAACTGACCTGGAAGCCATCCCCCGGAAAGCTAGCTCTCATAGTTTTGGAGATCACTATGAAAGCTACTAATGCAGAGCATCAATTGATGGTCCAACCCCAGTTTCAAGGACTAATAACCACAACAATGACTGGCACATCGAACTATATTGGGGCACTGGTGACACTTATATCTTGGAGGTAATCAGCAACTACCTAATTGGACCTAAAGCCTACTCCATGGGAGGGAACTCATATGTGGTACTGTAAACATAGCCAAATGCATATGGCTGGAGAGGTCAGAGATCTTAGCTGTGACATCTCTAGACAAATGTAATTTCTTACTATGTGCTAAATACAGATCCTTATATTTACAGACAAGTATACCAGTCACCACACATCCAAGAAGCTTCTTTTGCAACAGAGACTATTACAGAGTTCCTCAACTGGTCACACACAGAGATTAAGAGTCTGTGAAATGCCCAACCCTAAGTGACACATCTACAATGGAATCTCTACACCTAAGACTCATGGAGCATAGTGGAACAAGGGGTAGACAGAATACTAATGCATCTCTCAACTCTCATCAACGAAGCTTCCCTCATGCAACAGAGGACAATGAACGCAAGGTTCAGGGACCATTGTAGAAGAGGGAATGGAAAGATTGTAAGAGTCAGGGGAGGAGGTCATGACCATATGGAAATAGAATCTTATAGGCTCCTGGGACATATGAACTTATAGCAACGGTGTCAGCATGCACAAGACCCATACAAACTCAAGTAGACAAAAAACCTAGCATAGAACTAGGGAAATGGGCAGCAGGCCCCAATCTTAGCCAAAGAACTATTGGCAGCTGATTACTACTGGGTGGGGGAAGAACTGATCATCTTTAGTGGAGTGACTCTAGATAGGCTAACTAGGCCTCAGTGGTTGAACTTGCACTGAGGGATGTCAGGGGACACTAAATTGACTCAATAGGCCTTAACATAAATGACAGACTGCATGAGATCCAGTGTATGTATGTGGGTGGGTGGCTCTGGGAGGGTGCTGATGGGGAAGGGGGTATAAAGAGGACTAAGATGTATATGAAATACATAAAAATTTAATAAAAATAAATATTTTTTAAAAAACACATTTCCTTCCATGTTTAACTTTTTGTTACTAACAAAGACAATGATTCTGAGGCCACTTCTAATCATGCATGTTTTTGTATTTTTAAACCACAAATTGTCTTGAAGTTACCTTTCTGTGTTGGTTAGTTTTCCACTGCTGTGACAAAATAAGAAAAACTTAAAAGAGGAAGGGCTTATTTTGGCTCCTTCAGCCATGGCCTGTTGGCTCCACTAATTTCAGGCCTATGTGGGGTGGGAAGCGTGAAAGTAGCTAGGAAGCAGAGAAAGGGCACAGCAAGAACCAGTTCATTGGATTTGCTCCCTTCAAATAGGTCTCACCACCTAAGTTTCAACCACATTCCAATAGCTCATCAAATTATGAGCTCAATGTTGGACTAACCCATTCAAGAGATTGCAACACTGACAGTTCAATCACTTCTCAAGTCCTACTTCTCAACACTGCTGCATTAAGGACCTAGTCTTCAATGCATGAGCTTTGGGGTCATTTTTGATTTGCACCATGACACTTTACATCTTTATTTATTATATATCCTTTTTATTTTTCTCTTTTGGAACAAATATTGCAGAGGATGTTTAAGTCAAAATAAATTTTCTTTTTAAAAATTGTGTGTGTGAGGCCCGGTGTGGTGGTGCACGCCTTTAATCCCAGCACTCAGGAGGCAGAGGCAGGCAGATCTCTGAGAGACTGAGGCCAGCCTGGTCTACATAGTGAGTTCCAGGCCAGCTGGGGCTACAGGAGACCTTGTCTCAAAAACACCAAAAACAAACAAACAAACAAAAAACCCAAAACAAAAATTGTGTGTGAAGCTGGAGAGATGCTCAGCAGTTAGCACTGAGTGATCTTGCAGAGGACCCAGGTTCGATTCCCAGCATCCACATGGTGGCAAACAACCATCCATAACTCTAGTTCCAGGGGATCTGAGCCCCTCTTCTGACCTCTGCAGGAGTTGCACAACCAACATGGATGTACTTACCTATATGAAGGCAATACATTCATACACATGAAATATTTTTTAAAATTGTGTATGTGGTGTATGTGTATATATGCTTATAAGTGTGCATGCTCGTGTGCCTCTGTATGTGTGTGTGCATGCACATGCAACATCCTTGTCTTCTTCCTCTATTACTTTCCATCTTTTCTTTTGAGACAGGGTCTCTCATTGAACCTGAGCTTGCTTGTTTAAAGGCTGGCTGGGTGGTAAGCCTCTTGGATCCTGTCTTGGGCTACCAGCACTGGGATGACAGGTCTGTACTGCAGGGCCTAGCTTTTGTAAAATGTGGTGCTGGGATCTGAATCCAGTTCCTAATGGTTGTGCAGCAAACACTTTACCCTCGGAGCATCTCTTCAGCCCAAATTTCCATATATCAATAACATGTTGAATCATTTTTCTCTTTATTTTATGAAATCAAGGAATGAAAAGACAAATATTTCACCATGCAGTAAAGAGTTTTGAGAACTATGTATTGTTGACACAAGAATTTCCAAGGGATAACTGTCCATTATCTCAGGTTACAAAATTCTGATTTTGGTTCAATATTCTGAGGTGTATCTTCAGTCTACTCCATGGAACACTACTGTGGCTGCTCTTGATGTAAGATGACTATATTAACCTCTTCCTTTTGCAAAGTTTTTATTGGGAAACCCATTCTATATCATAATGAAACCTGACCTGGTATTAACTAATTGGAATCTCTCCCCTGAACTGGGTATAGCACATACCTGCAAGGCAGGAGGATCCCTGATCTTGAAGCCAGCCAAGACTGGGCTATGTAGCAAGGTGGGTTTTTTTGGGGGGGAGGGGGGGTATTTGTCTTTGGACTATATAAAAGCTGGGGCCAACTTTTCTGATCTCTCTAGCATAGAAGCCAATGTGAAAAAAATGTCAATATTAAGAAGATAATCTCAAGAGATTAAAGAAGAATGCCTACCACCCAGGGAATTACTTGGACTTCTGGATCCAGATGTTTAATAGATCATCCCTGGAATTATTAGTTAATATTGTTTTATTGAAGCAAGCTGAATTTCTCCCTGAAAAAAAGAGCAAAGTCAGCTATCCTAGCTGATTGGTTTGTTTTGGTCTTTTTGAGACAGGGTCTCCATGTAGCAGCCCCAGCTGGCCTGGCACTCACTATGTAGATCAGGCTGGCCTTGAACTCAGAGATCCACCTGCCTGTGCCTCCCCAGTGCTGGGACTAAAGGCATGTGCTACCATGCCCGGCCTATTCTGCAAATTTTAAGAGCTGTTTGATGAGCTAACAGATTAAGTGATTATTTCACATAAAAGACACGTACGGAAAACTTTCAATATATTCTAATGCCAATTCCAAAACAGTGAAGTGAATCACCAGTGTTACAAACTAGTATAGAGCAGTATTTCCTTAAAAGAGGCACACATTTACACCTTCAACAGTGAGCTGCTTGGATGACTGCTTTTCTCCTTACAGATAAGGAAATCAACTTGAATGTCTTGTTCAATGCTGGTCTCATCATAGAACCCAGAAGCTTTATTTCCCCTTTGCATCCTGAGATTCCTTCCTTCACTGTTAATTTTATTCCTTAAAGACTGGTGCTGACCACTGGCTTGAGTGAACCAGGCTGACAGCACCCCTGTAAAGGTGATAACTGCATACAAAATGTAAAATGTTTCTTGGCAAAATGAAAATCCCATCCTAAGACACATATATAATTTGACAATCTGTATGTACCAATGGGTAACCACGGAAACACTAAATGTAATTCCAAAAGGATTCTAACTAAAGGCAGCCAAACACTATAAAATTTGTATTTTTAAGAATATTTACTGCTGTGTTTAAAATTTGGAAAAACTGTTTAGCGTTTTTCAATGTAACTTAAATGTATGTCCTCTTGAAATGCTAGTGTTTGATTATGGTGTTACTGATATGATCAATATTCAAATAAATCTCCAAACAATTATACAAAAAGGAAAAAAAAAAACACTTTATTTTCCACAAGGAAGAGCAATAGGAAAAATTAAATCATTTCCCACATAGTTTTCTTAAAACAGAGCCTACAAGGACATATTCAGCACCAAATAAAAAAGAAAAAGAGAAATTACAAACAGCCATAGAATATAATCTATAAAGCAAACATTTAATATTGCACTTTGTTTTGCTAACATTTTGGATTTTACTTTTCCTAAATGAAAAATCAGGAATCTATCTTGAATACTAGAATCCAACTGAACCTCACATCTTATGTCAGGAATCGACCAATATTTAGAAAAATGTTAATGCCACCAAATGAGTAAAGAAATATTTATGGGGAAAATAAAACTTTATTTTATAAAGTTTTATAGAAATTTTATCACATTTTGTGACCCAGTGCCAATTGTCAGAATATTGGTCATTCTTGCTTAACATGGTATTTGTAAAAGAACATGGTAATAAGTATCCAATGCTATGCATATAAACAATTGTTCCCTAGTCAGACATAACAAAAAGGGTTTTCAGACAATCCCCCCCAAACAATAAAACCACCAAATGCCCTTTATGCCAAATATTCCATTAGCTTCTTTTGAGGGGGACATTCACAAAATGATTTAACAATAAAAAAATAATTCACCCCCATTTCCTTATTATCTAGTATTAGTTTGCTACGGGAGCCCAAACCCTTTAACCGAATCACTTAAAACGCGATTCATTTTTACAGTGGGCTTTCTTCACCCTGTCAGCATTATTTCAAACATGAATTGTCTTCCATGTTTTCTTAAAGGCCACTTATGGAAAAGCCTATTTTGTATGAAGCTTTAAGACAGTATTTAACCAGGTCAAGCACCATCCAGAGTTACTATTATTTTCAGTCACTTTTTAAACTATGGGGTTAAATGGCAAGGTAGATAGACGTAACACCCATTTCACACATATGTTGTGACATCAGAGATGCTGATTTTCATTAAAGACAAGATTCCTTCTAAAAAATAATCTGTACACTGAGTACTTGGAAAATGGTGTTTTAAATGTTATGAATGCTGGTATATTTGTTATGATCCAACCACAAATTATCTTAAAAAATAAAGTATAACTTATTGATGTGATTGCTGTTTTATCTATACATACTAAAAACGAGTGACTTGAAATGTCAGCAATTCTTTAGACAATGAAAAATTTTTTCATTAAAAAAAAAAATCACGCACACAAATACAAGTTATTTATCCCAGCAAACAGCCTACTATTTATAATTGTGAAGTTATACACTTTTGGAATAAACTTGGGCTTTTTATTCTCAAATATGAGTGAATGTATAAACCAAGGTCCCCAATCATCACCTTCAGACACATATTCTTGCTCACTAAAGTACTCTGCATCAGCAAAAATGATTTCCAACATACGTGTTTTGGAGGTAATTAAGTAACTCTGTATAAAAATAAATGCACTTTCCCCTCCTTTCCCCAGTGACTGGAAACTTCCATTTACTTTTAAAATAATAAAAATAATTTGAAAGAGCAACAGCCCTTAACTCTTTGCCGGTGCCTGCCCCACTGTCTGTCTTCACTCCACTTAGCTCTGCTAGTTTCTTTTTGTACGTAATGATAAAAAGGGGATGTGGGTGGTTATCACTTTTGTGTATGTCCCGTTTCCAAATTTCTCTCTCCAAAGAGCTGACCAAATAAACACAACAACAACAACAACGTAACAGTGCAACAAAACACAAACAGCATTCCAACAGTTTGGCAAGTGACGCATTCACCTGAGATTAAGTGATTTTAGGCAGTCAGTGACAAATGCTGCTTTGCTGTAACAGTAGAAAGGCAACAAATGCTCAAAAAGAAACCAAGAAGGTACACAATCTGGACAGTCTCTTGTTAGCTTCCTCCTCTTGTCTGTTCCCTACACATCTGTTGCGTATCTACTACAGTAGGCTGCAAAACATACAGCAAAAAGGATTGGCTTGAAGGCATTTGATGTTTGTAAATAAATCCACAATAGGATCCAAGCTGAAGAGGTGATACATGGTCAGCCTACTACGACAATTCTGAGCATGTGCATGTGCAGGTAAAGTCCAGGCTATATTAAATTAAAACAAAACAAACAAACTGTCAGTGCGTGTTTTTTGTGTGTAAAAGTTTTTCAAAGCTTTCCTTTGTTCCTTGTTGTGCTGACCACAACAAGTTTTAAAAGAGTATCAAGAGTCTGGCATAAATGGGAAAAAAAAAAAGCTGTAGTGACATGGAACTGCACAATGTAAGCAATGAGCATGTGCAAATTTTCAAATCAAAAGAAGGAAACCATCCTTCTTTACAACGTAGTGTCTTGACACATATGACCATAGGCTAAGAAGACTGCTCTTAGGATGTGCCAGTTTGAAAGGAGAAAAGCTTAGATCTTCAAGCATGTTGGAGCAGCCTCAGAATGTTGTAGGATTCTAAAGCATGATCACTGGTTGTTTCATGTGTTTGCCATTTTTCTGGGCAAAAGCAATTCCACTTCCTCTGAAAACGTGTCTCCAAGATACTTCTCTGTCTTCAGCCGGAAGAGATACAGTTCGGAACCCACATCAACTTGATTCAACCAAGTGTTCCTTCAGCGAGAGGGGCAGGATGGTCTATCCTCAGATGACTGATCAGGATTTGGATCAATCTAGTATGAACAAGATAAAATTCACAAAATTATTTAATGAGGTAGGAAGAATGCAACAAGTGGCCGACTCTGAGTACTAGTTAAGAAATGTTCACGTATAATCACAGCACCATGTATTTAACACATATGTAGTTTCTTAGCAAATTATACCCCATCGTCTTTTCCTATCTGCAGTGCTATGTGGGGATGATGGGTGTCCTTTTTGTCTATAATATGCTTGGTCACTAGATTACTAATATGATTTATAAAGGTATGCATGAATAGCTCGCTTTCACAAAAATTACTGGCAAAATCTTTTTACTGAAGAGGAAATTTCACTCAGCATTTAATACTTAATTACACATTGGGGAACAGCATTAAAGCACTGCTCTCTTGTCCTTTTGTAAAGTATCCCTTTGTCCTTATACAAAAATGTCAACACGGGCTGTAGAGATGACTCGGTAGCCAAGAGCAAACTTGCACTGCTCTTATAGAGCATGCAGGTTTGGTTCCCAGTACCCACATGGTAGTTCCCAATAATCTATTAATTCCAGTTCCAGGGGCCTACGTGGGCACCAGGTATGTAATGGTGCACAAACATGCATGCAGGCAAGCATTCATAAAATATGTGAATATGCCAATTCATCTCTTCCCTAGACTTTGGGAACAATGAAGCTATAATAAACAATTCTCTTGGTGCTTATGTGAAGTAAAACTCATTGGTGCAAAGTTCCAGACAGGGCCTAAAATACAATGCCTATGAGAGCAATGCTGAACCCAAAAGCCTTTCTAGCTTCTCTCCCTCTGTGCTGACCTGACCTGTATGCATGCGTACTTAGTATTCCAGTTGTTTCTCAGTTACAAAAAGAATGGGCACAGAAAAGCATGCTGTCAACTGTCAAGTTTACTATATTTTAGCAAAAGGTCTTTTGGACAAACCCAATCACTTGAATTTAAATGTGAGACAACCCAAAATGCTTCAGCAGCTTTAGGTCAAACACATTTTTGGAGAAAACAAGTCAATTAACTTTTAGTTAAACTACAGTATGAAACTGTTTTAGGGTTGTACAAGTTTTAAATTATCTTTCATTGAAATTGGCAAAATTTTATGACAAATTAGTTAAAAGTGAATTATATCTACACATCCATTCTTTTAAAATTCTCCCCTGTTAAGCTAGGAATACTCAAGTCAGAAACAACCAATTTAATAAGCAAAACAGAAACATAAGAATAAAAATGTAACAAAAAACAAAATTTGTAAAAACCAGCAGAACTTTTTTAGTCTAAGGGATATTTTTATGATGTATAACAGGATAGGAAAAATGTCTAGTCAAATACTTGTAAGAACAGATTCTGAAAATCCTATAATCAATAAAAAGGATTTCATATTATTTATTACATTTAGGGTAAAAAATGACTTCTAGTTACAATGTTAGAACAATCTACTGAAAAGTAAAAACAAGCTCCTTCATGTCCAGTGAGTATGAAATATTGTAATATTCCACTGTAAAACAGTGGAATAAACTAAATAACCAAAAGAAAAATTCTCTTGATTTATAAATTTTATTTTGATATTAAAGCCAAGTTCAAAGATCCTTAAAAAAAAAAGTGTATTATCAGCTCTAGTTATACTGAAAAATTCTAAAATTATCAGATCCATCCCCCACCTCTTGTCTTTCAGCTGGACTGTTCTTATGTAGGCTGGTCTCCCTCTGGGGGATTACCCATTTTTCAAAATTTGGCCAATTATCAACTTCTCAGAGAAGTCTAACCCTCTTTGATTCCCAAGTCCCAATAAGCTGCTCATAAATTGAGTGGTGTCTCTGAACACTGGTAATGTAGTATTTTGCTTTTAAGTTTATTTTTCACATTAAGTCTGTGAGCTTCTACAAAGTAAGTGATAATCTTATTCACATATGTGCTGAGCTAGCCTCAATATGAAATGTATAAAAATAATCTAACAGTGTAGGAATGTTTAAGAAGTTATTTGGAAATATGCTATTTTCTCCTATGACTAAGAATGTTAAAATATGTGAGAATTAAATTGGTAAAGGATTATAAATAAGACAAGTGCTATTTAATCAATGCTTACAAAATGTCAAGTTTTCTATTAATGCTTGAAGACGCAGTTATTCCTTTAAAAATGCAAATGATTTAACTGGAGTTAGATCATCATCTTATTTCCTGAGTGAAATCTTACTTTTGTGTCAAACTTAGTAAATATACAATCCTAATCATAACTTAAACTGCTGTTTGAAATTATTACCATGATTGCCAAGAAGCAACTACATTTTTAAAAGCTTGCAGTGCTAGTTTCTAACAGGCCCACAACATTTCATACTTGAATTGGTGCTTACCTCTGAATAAAGAGGTGGAGGCAAGAACCGAAACTCCTGGATATATGCAAACAGTGGTCCTTGAAGCGCTCTCTCAAAGTCATCGCAGGCACTCACGGGTGCCAGATTATTTCGCCTTTGTTCCTCTGTTACTACTTCTGCATAACTGGGTGGTGCTGAAGGAAAAAGATACACGCAATTCGAACAACATGTTCTTATGCATGTCAAAATACACAGAATAGTAGGTATTAAAAAGGAATGTCATGTAAAAGAATAATTATTTGTTTGGTGATTAAAACAAGGGAGACATACAAAATTTAACATTAAGGTCACATCTCTATAGGAAATGATAAAAATTTATCTAGGGTCGTACAACATCAAAAGCTAAACAAAGTTCTTAATAAATAAAAACAGATTAAGTTTAGATATGCATTATCCAATTACCTTCAGGTCTTTCAGGAAGGGATAAACCAAGCCAGTTCATATTCATGCTACACTGGCTGCTTACACTTGAGGTTCTGCTACCAAATGGATGCAGAGGAATTGTACCGATGACAAGTGGCAAATTAAGAAATAAGTCCATAGCTCCAGGAATATCCACATATACCTAACACAGGAAAAAGAAATACTAGATTTAGCATGCTAAGTATGATTTTCTTATTTATTTATTTGGTATTTTTGAGACAGGGTCTCCCTGTAGCCTCAGCTGGCCTGGAACTCTCTATGTAGACCAGGCTGGTCTTGAACTCACAGAGATCAAGCCTGCCTCTGCCTCCCAAGTGTTGGGATTAAAGGTGTGTGCCACCATGCCCGGCTTGATTTTCTTTTTAAAAACCACCCAATTTTAATAGTAGCTGAGGTCCCCTTTTACTTTTTATTATAAATTTCTCTTATGTTTAGTGCTTTAGGTTTATATAAGGCAAATTAGTAATTACAATGTAAAATTTCACACATACATGCCTCTATATATGTGGACTATAAACATCAAACTTGGGATGTAACCCAAAATAATAAGCCCACAACTTTAAGACAAAACATAAAAACCTCTTGAATCAACACATACCATTAGTGAATACTCCACACGGATTATACTACAATCAAGGATAGAGGGTGAAACTGGTGGAATTTTCAGCAGCTTGCCATTCCATGTCTCTGTCTTTCCTGATGATAAGGATTCCCCACGCAAGTTAGCTACAAGCTGTTTTACTTCCTTCATTTTTCCTTTGGCATAGAAGGCCTGTGTTTGGTAAATGGCTGCCTTTGGCACTACCATTCTGGAAGAGCAGTTCTCAATCTCAGCAAATATCTGAATTGATTCACCTAGAGAGGGAAAACGTATCTACTGTTAAAAACCAACCAACCAACCAACCAACCAACCAACCAACCAACCACCATGATACTAAGTTCTACTAACTATGGATGAAAAATTGTCTTAGGAGTAAGCAAGTAACTTACAGTCATAAAGTGACCTACTCATTCATAATAGCACATGAGAAACTACATTTCAATTTGTGAAAAGAATATGATGTATGGCCTACACTATTTTACTGAAGAATACTAAGTATTAATATTTGGTGATACTATTGCAAGTTTATACTTAGTGAAGAGAAATTGCTTTCTGTGAACATCAAGCTCATACATACCTGGGGTATAGCCCTTCCTTTCAATTTTGGCACTTAAGGATATTGGGCCTGAGGTACAGAACCAGCAACAGAGTGTCTTTTCTTTTGTGCCTGCTTGGGGTGACTGTAAGAAATAAATTGAGAAAAACATTAATGCATGGACTCAAAAATACCAAAATATTTAAAAATATAGTCTTAAACTCTTAGATAATTTATAATTAATAGTATTACCCTTAATCAATGGCTTTTGATTTCTATAAAACTTGACTTAATATAAATTTCCATTTAAGAAAAAAAGGGTTAAAGGCTTAATACCCTATTCCAAAAGAGTTTTAGTCCACTTATATATAATAACTAAAGTCAATCAAACAAAAAACCCTTTCCAAATTCCATTTAAACTTCCTTAAGGCAGCACAGAAAGTAACTTGGTTAAAATCCCAAATGTTAACATCTTTCTTTGAAAATGTAAAAATCTTATGTAGAAAGTTAAAAACTGTCCATTTTAAGGTTAATTTTTGCTTGCTTTAAAGATGTTATCATTTGTTTAAACCAAACAGTTTTTGAAGTCAAATTTGAATTAATCTCATAAAATGCAATTAAAAAGATTCATTAAAAAAATTTTTTTTTATGAAATTGATGATTCCCCATCATTTGACAACTATCCCTAATTGGAATAATGCAATGCAGTACAAAGTTTAGATTGTGATAGTTTCAAGTAAGAGTAAGTGATATTGTTTTATAATAAATGATATTACTGTTCCTCTTACACTAAAATCATGTAGAGAACAGATCTTTTTGTTACTGTTTTTTTGGTCATATTCTAAGTAAAGGCTATTATTTCATATCACATATTGGTCTTAAATTTACTTAGTACAATGTGAAAAATACAAGCATATTATTCATTGGCTTGTGTGCTCTACTTCTGTATTTAAAAATAGGTATTTTAATGGAATATAATAAAATTACTATATTCAAGTTAGGAAGACTGCATAGATCAGGTTATTCTTCAGTATTCATATATCAAAAAACAATGAAGAATTCAGTCAATTCTTACCAGTAATGAAGGAGTGTTGATATCTATATGCTCAAAGACTGTAAATTCCTTCTTTAATTTTACTGGTAGAAGCCAAGGCCTGTGCAATTCGGCCTTCACCCAATAGCGCACACTACCATGTCGGCCTTCGAATGAGGTAGCAAGTGGTCTGTGCAGAATATAAAGGTGAATATATTAATCTTATACCTCTTTCTAAAAATTGAACAGTAGATCAGAATAAAAGTATTAATACATTGTACTGTTTATGTACCAATGAGGTACCAAATATGGTTTCAAAAAGTTTCCAAAGGGATAAGTCACCGGGGAAAAACCTTTTATTTCCAAATAACAGTAGATGGTGAGAGTTAATTATGGAAATCTTTGCTTCACAAAGCCAGAAGAATACAATCCCTCTAAATTAAAGAGAGGCTACTTTCAATGTTGGTGGCAAAATTATAAAAGTTAAACAAGCTATTCTTGAAAAGGTCAACATTTTAATTAGAAAATAAAGGTAAAAATGGCCTCCCTGTTTCTATCTAGAAATTCTAGATCCCAGTCAAACACTGAGACAAAATTCCCTATACTGATCTACTTCTCATCAGAGAGGAATTATCACCTCTTTTTATAGCAACTAATTAAGTACAGTATAGAAAAGACCTAGAACAGTTTCACGGTTTCCTATTTCATTAGTTCATAGAAACGGAAAATGTTTTACATTTCCAGTTTCCTCATGTGGTACTCTCCTGTGCTGCCTTTTCTTAAGGAAGTTTTTTAACTTCACTTTTTAGGGCTTGAAAAAAATATTCCCATCAACCTGCATCAAAAGAATCCCAACTTTTTTTGAACTTGGCCAGGTTTTAGGTTTTATTATTTATAGAAAGTTTCATTTTAATAAAGTCTGTTTAATTACATAATATCCAATATTTTTATTTTTAAGGTAGAGGGCTAGATTAGAATGGTATTTTACAATTTTTTTTTCATTTTAATAAAGTCTGTTTAATTAAAGTCTGTTTAATTACATAATATCCAATATTTTTATTTTTAAGGTAGAGTGCTAGATTAGAATAGTATTTTACAAATGATTTTTTTTTTCATTTTAGACACCCATATTGATTTATATAGCACAAAGAATTAAACGGAGTATTTCTAAATCTCACACTTCATGATAGGCTTTCTAGAATTTGTTAAATGACTTTAATTTATAGATAAATCATTAAAAGACAATAGTCTGAAAAGCATAATTGATGAACTGTACATAAAACTCAAACCTAGAATTAACATAGACTCATGTACATTTAGTGCATGATAAAACTGTTATGCGAGTCAGGTTTATTTTCTAGAACAATATGTACAAACACCAGTTCATAGGTTTCAGTATCTGTTAAAAGACATAAAAGGTATTATGAAAAAAGATGTATCCATTCTCTCAACAATCTGTGATGATGTAAAGAATGTACTATATTTCCAGCTTCCTCTTATGGTAGCTCTGATGGATGTTTCCTTTTAAGTCAGGGTTATAATACGTTATGTGATTTCCCTAGTAGCTCTTTGTACAAAAGCTACACAATTTGTATCTGAAGATCCACAGTTAGGATAATCTTATTTTCATATTCTAACTTATTGCTAGTCATTCATACTAGCAGAAAAGGTAGAACACCATGTTTCAATAAACTGAGCTACTGAGACTTGACCAGTGCTCTCTTTTTCTGATAAAGCCAGTAACAACCAATTATCCATTAAAGCTTTACTATTTGATTAGTACCTGCGCTAAACAGAATATGAATCATGTTTTATTAACCTCATAAACTTTGGGGGCAGAATATTAATAATTGAGCTTGCTTTCTGTAATTTTGCCATCCTAGATTAAAAATAGCTTCTTATATTTAACATATTGTTTTCCTCTAGCAAGTTTCTATAATGAAAAGGGTTTTTTTTTAAAAAAAAAATCTAAAAGTATTTAAATTTGGAATATTTAATTTCAAAGACTGCTTGACTTTGTGTGTCTATGATAAATGCCTATTATTTGTAATACTTACGTCTGTGGAAGCTCGAAGCTAAATGCATATTCATGCCTTCCTGAATGAATAGTGTTGAAGCCTTCTTCGGAATTATCATCATCTAAAACAAAAAGAAAAAAACATTAAATGTATCTCTGGTGGCAATTCTACAAGGATGTTCATTTAATGATTAAAGTCATAAGCTTTCATCTTAGAGATCTGAGTTTTAATTCCAACTCAGAATTAAATTTAATTATCTGCTCTGGATAAAACAAGTCTTTATTCTTCATCTTTCTCATATTAAAAGGGAGCTAATGAATACTTATGAGTGAAAGCTTTTTTGTTTAATGAAAAAGATGGCCCAAACAATAAAAAAAAATTGTACACACTATTTAACCAAAGGTCCAGATCTCAAACTACACTGTTATTTTTGCCACCATTTGTTTAAGTGTGCATAAAGTAAAACTTGTTTAAGTAAAACATTTAAATTTTTTCAGTTTGGGGGTAATGATTCTGACATCATTGAACCACATGTACACACTGCAACCAGAAAAAGATATGATGACTTTTGGGATACAAGGAGACCCAATTTCAAAAAAAAGGGAAAAAGATGCGATTTAAATGTGTCATAGCTAAATGTAATTATTCACTTAGACTACAACATTCAACACTGAGTTGGTCTTGGCAACAAGTAGATTTTGCCCTCATATACACTTTAATTACAAAGGGCAAAATTTAAAAGAGTAAAACAAAAAACAAAGTCAACAATATTTTAACATCCTTGAAAAATGAGGTCTAATTGGTAATTTCCACTTAATGGGGGGGAAAGGGATTACCTTTCATTTTACTACCAGTTTCTTTTGCTCACATACATTATTTTGAAGTGTCATGGAAACAAATTCATTACCAAAAATGTGGGCAAGGTTTAGGTTATTGGAAGAGTCCTTTTGGGTAACTGGGTAACACATATATGTCTTACTTGCTTTTCTTGGTGTGAACCTTTATAATTAGCTGGGGTGGTGGTGGTGGAACTACTGTATCATTTAACTTTCCCTCACCAAAGGACCGAATAGACACAAACACCGGGATGCCTCCCTCATAGGAGACTTTCTTCCAAACGTGATGAGTCTGGCCCGGGTCTAGACACTCCTTCCCCGGTGCCTTTGGTCCGGGGGTCCCAGCCCCGAGAAGCAGCGGGGACAGAGCTCCGGGCCACTCGCTGCTCGAAGACGCCCGAAGTTTGCCTCCCTCTTCTCCCTTTCTTCCCCTCCGGCTCGCTTTTTGTGCCAGCTCAGCAGTCTCATTGAGCCGAGCCGCCGCTCCGCGGTAAACAAGTGCCTGGCTGTCAATCAAGAACTAGACTAGAGCAGGAGAGGACCGGCCTAAACCGGCGCTGAGCAGCTCCCAGCCGGCCCGCCCGCGCGCTGCCGCGGCCGGCCGCGCGCCCCGCTATACATACGGCATATGTCGCGCGGGGCTCGTGCGCGCGCAGCCTAGCCCGCTGGGCGGGGGCGGGGCCTCGGCATGCCGCGCTTCCGCTTTCCACGCCCCAGCCGGTGACCGGTTAGATCTGGCTCGGGCCACCCTGACACCTTTACAGTTACAGCGGGTGGGGGAAAACTGGGCGGCGGCGGTCCCAGGGAACAATGGGCACTGGGCCCTGCCGCTCCGGCCGCACACGGCCCTATGCCCTCAGGTCAGACCAGTCAGCCTGTCAGCGAGGGACGCGGCTGCCACCACCTGCCAGGCGCCCACCTCTACCAGCTCCCTCGGACCAGTGTTTTCAGCCCAAGTAGCGCCCAGGGCGGCGCGGCACCTGTCCAGCCGCTGCTACAATGGGGACCCAGGCCCGGGTGCGGGGCGACGGGACGTGTGGGGCAGGGACACCCGCGCTGCAGGGCGGAGGCGGTGGCTCCCGGGTACCTTTACCGGCGCACGCCAGTTCCAAGCCTCGCCCCAGCCAGAGCGAGCCCACTCGCCCCACCCGCCGTGCCCAAGCCAATCAGCGCCTGGCATCGCCTTAGCAACAGGCTAACAAACCCCGCTCCGCCAATCGCGGGACGCCCGGGGCGGGCTCTCGCCACCAGGCTAGTTTGAGAGCGCCCAGTTGTAAGTCATTGAAACTATTCCAGCTTAAGAGCTCGTCCACGCGTTGCAGGGGTTCGGGGGCATCTCGCGGGGTGCAGGGCACCTAATTTTCTTAACCTTGAAATCCTGGAGCAACTAATGAAATTATCTTTGCCCCCACAACTCGTTCTACTTCTCCTCCATTACGAGGCTTGACTACTTGAGGAAAAGCCTTTGTTTCTTCTCTTCATTTTATAAAAGGCTGCAATGTCTAGGCAGGTTCAACTACGAATTTATGTGCCTGCTTTTTAAACAAATAATAGCACTGTCATTAGGCATTTGTATTTTCCTATTTGTGCAGATGCGTAGAGGTCAAGTAGGAATTATTTTAGGATGCAGAATACCTGTGTGATACACGTATCCTACTATGAATTGACTTCACCTTAGCATTTAAAAAAAAAGGCATTAATGCTGAGTAACTCGAAGCATCCTTCATTTCTCATTTGCCTTAGTTCAGTGAACTCTTCCCTAAGATGCATGTTTCTGATATTAAAAGATAAAAGTATTCTTCTTTCTGAAAAATCGTCAGTTTGCACTAAAATACTGCATTAAAAAGGAGAAGCAAAAATTACATAACCAGTTTTAACATTATATTCTTCTTGGACTAGGAATTAAGTCATCGCCACCACCTGACGCGTGTGACCAATCTGCTGAGAGCAGAACGAGCGCCCCTCCTCACCATCCCCCAGAACTGGTCCGAAACAGGATTGAACCGCTTCTAACAAAGGGTGGAAACTTAGAAAAACAAGCTTAGAGTCGCCTATATTTCCACAATGTAACCATTTAAACAATAGGTTGCAAATCTCAGGACCCCTTCTCTCTTGACAATCCTTTTATGCCCCCAAACCAAATCCGATGTGCCATATACTTTTACAATTTCATCTGACTGGCATGGATTTCATTGAATCCACGTTCCAAAGTTAGACATGATGCTCAAAGAAGAAAATTAGACACTGAATGGCTTCTAAAACGGACTTAATAGTTTTATAAGGATAGATATTATTCTTTAAAATAAATGATGCTTGATGTACATTTTTAAAGGAATTGGAAAGAATAGGGAAAAAACACGTGGGGTGTTGATGCCATATGTCAAAATAAGCCATGGAGACCCTTTATCAAAGAACAATAATGAAGTCTTTAAAGTCTTTTGCATCTTAGTATTAAAATCAGATTCATCTAGCAACCTTCTTAAAAATGTTACTCCATTTCTTCCCTGGAGCTCATTTTAAAATCTAAGATTGTAAAATAAAAAGGAAAAATTTAGTATTGAAGTGCAGTTTTCAAAAATTAAAAACAGTAGTAAAATTATTGAATCAGATTCAAACAATTTCTAGGTAAGGTGCAAATGGGTTGCAAGTGCATAAGGCAGCGATCAAGCCGGTTACAGATGTAGTTGAATAAGTGCAGTTTGCAGTCACTGCAGATGCCTGCAAACACACTGAACGTCAAGGAGAATCCAAATCTTCCAACTTTGTTAACCTTTATCAAACTGCCGTGTTATGCTACGATTAGAATTGCATTAAACGAGCCTAAAATCGTCCTTTTGCAAAGAAAACGAATCTAATGACTTACATAAAAACTTACCTCTTTCGTGTCCAATTAGGATGTCTTTATGGTTGAAATATTCTACTTCTTCAGTGTAATTCTGGGTATAGGCAGTATTGGAGCCGGCGTTTCTAGATTCAGTCCAGCGTACTTTCGCATGTCCTCTTGCATGAATTTTAAGAGATTTTACTCTGATTTCCCCAGTAACTTCTAAATTCACCCTTCCTGAGACAGTATCCCCACTAGAATACACAGGGACATTGCTGTCATTAAGACAGTCAAAGCTTATTGTCAAACTCTTTACCTTTCCCAGCACCATGATTATAACAAAATCTATAAAAATATAATGTAAGACCAAAAAAAGTCAAGATCACATATAAGATGTGATCTTCACTTAACACTGATCAGTGTCTTTGCCCTGCAAAAAACAAAAAAAAACAAAAAAAAAAAACCTTGCAGGCAGGATCAGTGATTCTCTACAAATAGTTCATTGAGATTTCTTAAAAAGTCAGGGCAGCAGAGAGGCTGCTCCGCGTTCCTGCTAGTCTCAGTGGTCTCCTTACAAAGACGGGCGGCTGGAGCCTGCCAGCTCACTTTAAGAGCAGCTTTGTGAAAAACAACCCCAGTGCGCAGGCGCACGCCGGGGCTGCAGGCCAGCCTCCCTGCGCGCGCTCTCCTGCGCGCGGCGCTGGTGGCCGGGCTCGCGCCTCGCTCCCTCGCTCTCTAGCTCGCTTTCTCTCTCGCTCGCTCGCGGTACAGTAGGGGAAGGAGGCGGAGGCAGACTTCTCTGCATGGGGCTCTCCGATTGGCAGGCAGGCTACCGTAAAGCCCGGTCGCAGCCTGCAGCCCCTGCCGAGCACGCGCTCGCGGAGCGGGGTCGAGGGCCGGTGGGAGCCCTGCCCAGGCGAGTGAGGATGGAGTGCGCCGGGACCGCGGGTTTGGGACGAGGATGTGCGGACACATGGGGGAAGGGGAGAAACCGGTTGGGCAAGCGGCAAGTGGCCTAGCCTAAGCTAATAAATTTCACCCCCACCCCAAAAAAAAAACCCGTAATAAAAAGCAGACAAATATTGTTCATAGGAAAAAGCAATGTTGACTTGGATGGAAAAAACAGAAACAAACAATATTCTGTAGGCAGGGTGGTAATGAACTCAGCCAAGGCCCGAAGAACCTTAAAACAATACTCCAAGTAAGAGAAGCAAGTATTCAACCAGCAGACTTTGCTTTTCTTCGGCTCCCTTCATCCCTTAGAGCACTAAACCCAAGTTGTTAACGTGAGGACACGTGTGTGTGTGTGTGTGTGTGTGTGTGTGTGTGTGTGTGGGCTTGACCACTTCCTCAAAGGAAGAAAAAGTCCTTTTTCCAGACACCACCTACAGCTACACTTGCAGGCGATGACATGATTACAGCTCCGGTGTCCACTGAATTAAGAATAGACTTCGCCCCTCAAAGTAGCACCCGACAAGAGTATGGACATATTTAGCAGACAATGCTGACAACACGTGGAAAAGTCTTTGATAGCGAAGGACACACAGTGTTTAAAAGTGTGGTTTGTTATATAAATAAGGCTTAATTCTGTAAAGTTTTCTTTTTAATTCAACATAATAACCGTTATGTACATCTTAAAGATAGGTACATTTTTCTTGTGAATGCTTTGCTTAAGAAAAAAAAAAAAAAAAAAAAAAAAAAAAAAAGGGCAGGGCTCAGCAGTTAAGAGCGCTGACTACTCTTGCAAAGGACCCAGGTTTGATTCCCAGCACCCACACGGTGGCTAACAGCCCTAGGTAACTCCAGTTCTGGGGGATCCGTCACGTTCTTCTGATCTCCAAGCGCATTGCACAACACGGGTGCACTTACATGTATGCAGGCATAACTCTCGTGTACATAAAATAATTTAAAAAAGCATGACCTTCTAAATATCACTGGGACCTAAAGGCATAAACTGATTTAGATTATTAGCAATCAGCAGGGCTTCTTATAACAGAATTATACAAAACAAGAACTATTCATGACTAAAAATACTTAGGAAGATTTCCTCTTTGGTTGTCCACAGTTAAACACTTTAGACTCTTTTGCATAATACATTTGGATAGGTTGACCCTATAAATCACAACAAACTATGCATTCGAATTGCTTTTATTTTTTTTAAAAGGACCTATATTTTATTTAGTTGGATTTTAGTTGATAGGGCATCTTGAACTAAAAAATATAGAATTTAAGTCTGCCAACAATTACTGGGCAAGATATTTATCTCAGGGTTTAGCTTATCATGCTTAAAACCACGAATTTGTGTGTTTGAGTGGGAAAAATAATCTTTTCTCTCGGTTGACATCTGGTGGAAGATCTAGGTAAAGTCCCTGAACCTTGAGTTAGTTTCTGTAGTAGATACTGTTGGAGCTTTTCTCCCCCTAGTGGTAATAGCTAGGAACTTGCTACAATGTCAAGTTTTGCTCATTCAGCACAAGATGTGTAATGTTCATTAGCCATTCAAGTTACAGTGAGCAGGGAGTAGAATTACAAAAGTGCGATACAGGGCGACTACATAAATTCTTTACCAAACACGTTCAAAATTATGGAAATCTAGTGGACAACTGTTTGGTAAAATCTCTCCAATTAGAATATAATGTATTTCTGGAAAAAAAAAAAGAATCAGTATTTAAGTCCATGAGAATTGAATTTAATAAAAAAGAGCCCTAGTAAATTTATTTGTGGTTTTTAACTTTTTTAAACAAATTAATCGTATCCCTGTATGGTTCAGTATTTCTTATCTTTGAACCTTCTAAGATCCTTTAAATTGTATTTGTTTTGCTATTTTCTATATTTTTAAAAATGTGTCTTCTTAAGCACTTTATTTGGAAACTGGCAAGCTGCCAAGAAATTCTTACCTGCCATTATTTTTACCTAAAATTCATTTATTTAGCCATGTTACCACTTTTCATCTTAGATTTGGTCACATGACTATTTCTCAAGTGTCTAAACTTGGCTATATTTGATTCTATTTATTCAAGCCATATAAACACCAGAAACAAGAAATTATGACACCTCTAAATAGTTTATATTTTCATTTCTAAAAGAAAAACTAGGGGCTAGAGAGAGAGCTCAGTCAGTGCAGAGGACTGGGGTTCAGCACTCACATGCCGGCTAAGAACCATCTGTAACTTCAGTTCCAGAGGATTCAGTGCCCTCTTCTGATCTCTACAGGTGTTTCATGACACCAGTGCACTTACATACACGCCGGCAATATACTCATAAAATGAAAATAATATTTTTAAAAGAAAAAACATACACTTAGACCAAAGTTTGAATGTTATCTTTTCTGACCTTGATAACTTCCCATTTTTCAGACTTGAAATGTCTATCCTTTAGACAGCTTGCAATGCTGCATTGCCACATGCTATCTTGGGCTTCTCTGCTGGCTTCACTGGGCTCTTATTATTTTGCATTAGATTTAAGCTATTCATCTTCACCAGCAAGCCTCTTTCCTACTGCAGCCCAGCCTACGTCTCATATGCCATCTCCTCCTACTCACCCGCTAACTCCCTATATTCCTGTCAAGTGTATCTTCTGGCCCCTTTGTTGACTTGTCTCACTGTTGCCAATATGCAGTTAAATCTGAGTTCGGTGCCCAGGCCAACATCTCTTTTCTATATGATCTCTTTCTTCCTCTTCTAACCCTTCCAGTAGCTTTGACTAACACAATTGCATAAAATCCCAGCAGACTGAATAAATAGCTCCCAGTTCCCCTTTCATAGCTATTTGAGAACAAGTAGTAACTTCTTTTCATGATAGTTATTTCACTGATATTTGAATTAAGATACTATTTTGATGCATAAAATTTTCAACTCCTCTCAAGATTTGTCCAAACCTGTATATCACAGAATTATGTTATGCTTGAAGTTTTTCAGATTTTAAAGTGCTCCTTCAAATACACATAGAACAAACTATTTTAACTAAAAGTTTCTGTGTTAGAAGGCCCATACCAGTAGTTAGAATTTGTTTCTTAGATATTAAACCCATACTTATTTAGCCCCTGGCAGATGTGACTGGTGTTAGAACTAAGATTTTTCTTGTTTTTTTTCTTTACTTTCCTTCTTTCATTCACCCCTCCCTCCCTCCTTTCCTCTGTCTTTTTTTCCCTCTCTTTCTTGAGACAGGGTCTCACTGTGTAGCCCTGACTGGTCTGGAACTCCCTAGAGATTAGGTTAGGCTGGCCTCAAACTCACAGAAATCTGCCTATTTCTGTTTCCCATGAGTGCTGGGATTAAAGGCATGTGCCATCATATCTGGCTTTTTCTTGTTTCTTATTAAGTCTTTTTATTGGAGGGGGGCTGTCTTTTTGAGACAGAAGTCAATATGTAGAGCAGGCTGACCTCAGTCTCTCAGAGATCTACCTGCCTCTGCCTCTGGGGTTCTGGGGTTAAAGGAGTCATGCCCATTTATTATGTCTTGATTCTGAATTTTAAGTTTATATCTCTGACTTAATTCCAGAATGCAACAAATTTGACGTTTATATGGAAACTAGAAGGAATATTTGAAATAATAGCAAAATGAATGTTTCCTATATTTGAGGTAATTGCTTGATACATTATTAATATGTGATATAAATTTGAATATGTTATGGATTTGTGGTAATATTCAGTACCATATTGTTTTTTCTCATTTAAAAATGAGTGGAATTTGTATTATCAAAAAATCATTTAACTTGTTAATTTGACTTCTTCACAAAAGAAAATCACCAACAATTATGGAACACACCAAGATATCACTGTTAACATTTTGGGATATTTGTATCTGTATGTACAACTGAAAAAGGAAAAGCACTGCTCATTGAGCCTTGACGATGCTGGCCATCATGTAGAAGCTGGGTTTGTTAAGTCTGTTCATTGGATCAGGTGGCATCTGGTCTGCATGTAGGATTAGAAATCCTAATTTTCCTTTTCTGAACTGTTTAGCCTGCCTGCTTCCCTCCTTCTTTCCTTCCCTTCATTTCCTTTTTTCTTTTTCTGTTTGTTGTTTTTGAGACAGAGCCTCAAATCCCTGATCCTCCCCCCAGGAGAGCTAGGATTACAGGTTATATCATGCCCTGTCTATTTTGTAACTTTTGCCTAGGTACAACTTTATATAGTTAGGGTAAAAGAAAAAAGGAAATCTTGTACTCTTGATAGATACTTTGTTTTAGAGACAAAATTAACAAAAGGGATCAGTTCCTGGTTTTGTATATCAAATTCATATTTGGCTAACTGGAATTTCATATTAAATAATCTTACTTGGGAATGTTACCCTACCCAGCCACCTACATTTTTACTGTTGATAAAGAGAATTATTTTTATAAACAATTTATCAACCCAGGCATGGTTGGTGGGTGCCTGTAATCCCAGCACTTGGAAGGTAGAGGCAGGAGTATCAGGAATTCAAGGCCAGTCTTTTCTCTGACATCCTATCTCAAAAACTAACCAACCAGTCAGCCAAACAAAAACCATCAATACACAATGTATAACAAAGCCCCAGCATTTATCTACTGCCACTGCCTTCTCCACATTGTTTAGTGTAGGCATTTCAAAATACTCTGCCACTAAAG